ACATCCCACCGATGGGGTACAACTAAAAACTAACAACCAGAAAAAAACCAGCACCCCATATCACTGCCAAAGCCTAACATGGATTACTAGCCTCTAACAAAAAAAACAACACGGGCAAACAAAAATATTATATGAAATTTAAATTGTGCAAAATTACATAAAACATGTCTATTTAAAATTAGTACACGACCCGTACGGTTCAAGTAACTGATAATAAGTTACATTATATTCATTTCAAAAATAAATGTCATTTTAAAATTTTTATTCAGAAATTTGATTTGACTATAATGTGATTTAAGCAAAACAACCCTTTACACACACACACACACTCCAAATAATTTGATATTTTCCACGCACATTTATAGAGAAGAATCGACCATAGTATTATCCAGATTTTTCTTTCATTAATATCGAGTAAAATGCTTAGCAATATGAAGCAAAAAAAATTATTGAGATACTATTTATTACCATAAGTGGGTATATTAGATCAATAAATAGTATACCAAATAATTCGATTTTATACATTATCGATAAATACAGAAAAATGATATTCAATTTATCCACGAAATTAATTGCTCAGCGTACAAAATAAAACCAAAAGTCACGTTTATTGCAGATAAAAGAAAAAAAGACCAAAAATAGTTATTAGAAATTAATTAAATAGAAACAACGATTTAACACAATTATTTTAGAATTTATAAGAAATTATAATTGAATGAATCAACCGAACTTACACGATCTGCGTAATTAGGGTATCTTAAAAATATAAATTTTTATTGTCTAATTATTTCCTTAATTATTCACGATATGAGAAATTAAATACATAAAATGAATAACATTTATTAAATAATATATAAATAAAAAATATCATTAACACAATTTTTTAGAAAAAATTTGCAAACTGCATAATTAATTACTGTCGATATTTCTATAACTGTAGTATTTATTTACAGATTGAATAAATCAGTCAAATTTACACAGTTTGCGTAATTAAGGTATACTAAAAATATATTTCACAAAATAATTACACGTAAAATATAGAACACTTACTAAACAAAAAAATATACAATTTAGTTGGAATTTTTATACCAAGAGACGCAATTGATATTGCAGCCGAAATTCTCATATCTATACTTAAATAATAAGATATTATATTTACCAAATTTAGTAGGTTGAAAAGGCAATGTAATTAATGCGTTTCTATTTCTATCCAGAATTTTATTTAATTATTTTATCTATTTGTCTTATATCCCATAAAATCAGTTTAAGAAAAAAAAAATTCCATAACATCTGATAAGTAAAAAAAAATGACGTAAAATCTTTACTAAAATAAAAAAGGCTTTATTTATTTATCTTATTCCATATTAACATCGATTTTGTCAAAACAAATCCCATAAATTCGGTGAAGTCAAAATTTGTACATAAAGTCTATCTATACTAAAAAAATGTAGTTCTTTATCTTTTTTCTTCTTAATATCTAATTGTATAGAGATCTGTTCTGATTTTGTTCAATCCTCTAATTGTATTTGTATTATATCCCATAAAATCAGTTTAACAAAAAAAAAAAACCCATAACATCCGATAAGTAAAAAAAATACGTAAAATCTTTACAAAAATAAAAAAAGCCTTTATTTACTATTTAATTTATTATCTAATTGTATAGAAATCTGTTCTAATTTGTTCAAACCGATTTCTGTATATTCAGATTCAGATTTTCTAATAAAAAAATTAACAACAATATATATCTACTCTACACATTATAAATTACAAATCTCAAAATATCGAGTCATCATCTTCCTCACTGTCAACCTCATGCGAACAAAAAATATCTTCAATCAGTCTTTTATTCAAAACAATGAATCATGGATTTGGGTTAATCAAACAAGTTAATATGTCTAATAGACCTATGCTCAAAGTTCAAATTGTGAGAATGTTTTTCCAAGACTGGGGCAGCACATATAAATCATATCTCGAGTTGGTTCTGTACGATAAAACTGTAAGCCAAATTATTTGAATTTTTGTTTAATTTCAAAATTTGAAATGTATATTTTAATTGTTTTATTTTATTTTTCTGTATGTATTTAGATATTTTTGTACATGTTTAGTGAAATATATTTTGATTTTTTTTTAATTATATTTCTAGATTTTCAATTTGATTTATTTATTCTACATATCGTGTATGTATTTAAATATTTACATTATTTATATTTCGTGTATTGTAAAACTTTTATTGAATATTGCATCTTATAATATTATAATCCCCAAATAAATATATCTCGTGTCTCGTACAGGTCACGTACTATATATATATCCCGTACATTTTTCTTTATTCATTTATATAATTATAAGGCTGGATAATTGGCCTTAAAATTATGCACCTCGTGCATCGCATGGGCTCTGTACTAGTTTGGGTAAATCAACCAATTCACATGATTTAAGTAATTAAGTTATCTTAAAAAAAAATAAATTTACCATAAGTGATTATTTGAAATATACCATAAATTGTTAAATTAATTTGAATAATTAAGGTATCTTATCAATGAATATTTATATGGCTTAATTATTTTACTTAAACAATGAGCCGCAACTTCCATAAGTGATTATTTAAAGTATACCATAAATTGTTAAATTGATTTCACAAAATAGTAAATAGATCTTTTTTTAAGGTAAATAGTTACTATTTAAAAAATAATCAAACCTTTTGATATAGATATAGATGTTAATATAATAAGAGAGCGTATAATATTTGTTAATAAAATATATGTTCATATGTATATAAATTTTATTAAATCCATTTCAGAAGCCAAATATATTGCAATATAAAAAATCCTCTAAGATAAGATAAATATAGTTAATTTCATCCATATTATTGTATTGATCTAAAGTATCTATTACTATATAAAAGAGCTAAGGAAAATACATAATTAGTAAGTCATTTTTCCGCTCATTTTTTTGTTTTATACTATTTATGGTAACTTTTTTTCAAAAATTTTGAATTCTCCCGCCTGTGATGTTTTTTGAAAAATTTGAAAAAAAAAATAAATTCAAAAATCTAAATAAAAAGATTACATGAAAATTTTTTGGAGATTCCATATTATCTAACTTCCTGGTCGACAAAGTTGAGCAGTTACAAAGAACCATGTTGGGATTGAGTTGAGCCCTTCCATATTAAGCGCTGCTCTTAGGGGATGAATCCCTATCAGGAATGGGACACTTGTCCCATTTTCATTGGTGCACTATAAATTTCATATGATAAGATAAGTATAACTCAAATTATTAATATTATTTTATATTAAAAAAATAAAATAAAAATATTAAAATCGTATTTTTCATACTCCATAAACAGAGACCATTCTTGATATGTTTTGGAACACATTTAAAATTATTATGTTGGATTAGGTTGTAGATAAAACAATACCAAAAAATGTATTGTAGATAATATTTATTAAATAAATAAATAAAAATTAAATAAATATTATACTATCTTTATTGGGTTACCAACTAAAAAACAATAAAAGAATAAAAAAATTGTAAAATCCGCGACCCAGGTCAAATTGTGACCCTGGGTCGCAACCTAGCCACAAGGAGGGAGAG